GAAGCTGGGACTCTTGTATGGCTTTTCAGAGTGGACTTTTCCCTTGAAAAGGAGGATGTACTCAGGAGACCTACATGTACACCTTCAGAACCAAGAAGGAAAGGCTCGGACTACAGGCAAACAAGAATCAATATAAAGAAAGTGGTCAGGGCGGCTGGGCTTGCTTATCAGCACATTCCAGATTTGCACAGTTGTTTGAGGTTCCACAGTCCCTTTGGCTGGCCACCCAGTACCAAAATATGGCCATTCAGTTCCAACTGAGCTGCCCTGGCTTTACCTTCACCCTATCATCATTCTTTTTTTTTTTTTAATGCATTTTAGGGCAGGGTCTACAGAGTGCAAAGGGTCTCACTACATAGATCAGACTCATAGTGATTCTTCTGTTTTTAGCCTCCCAAATGCTGGGATTTCAGGCACACACTTCAACGCCCAGTCTCAATTGCTGTCTCAGCGCGCCACAGGGGCAGGACCGGTATGGCAGGCCAGGGATGGAACCCTTAGCCCCTGCGTCTGCCTAAGCAGGCGCTTTAATCTGCTGAACTATCTGGCTGGCCCCATCATCATTCTTGAGTCTGTCTAAGTTCTTAATGATACATTCTAATACAGTGGGCTTCGAGGGGGGCCCCCACATTGGCCAGCTAAATTGGACTGTAGATGAAATATCTCCCACCTCGCTCATGCCCAAGCCCATTTCAGCAGAAATTCAGCCAGAAGGGTAAAACTGTCCAGCAGGTAGTGGACAGCTGGGACACCAACAACAGCTTTTGCCAATTGATCTTTAGCAGTCTCTGGTCACGTTGACTGTGAAGAAAGGTCCAGGAAGTCTGGGTAGGAGTCCGATGCTCATGTTCACAAAGGCAGCCGAGATGAGGGTGGCAAAAATCTGAAATCACAAGCACAGAGAGAGGGCCAGCCACAAAAATGATCACATGAAAACAAAGCTCCCAAACCTGAAAAATGAATGCCTAGTGCTGGGCAAACAAACCCAAACACTTTCTTCTCTCTCTCTCTCTCTCTCTCTCTCTCTCTCTCTCTCTCTCCCTGCATGAGTCAATAGCAAAGCCAGATCTTACCAAGTGCAGTCAGCAACCTTCACTGTCTCACACCGTGGCCCTTGATCCCTCTCTCTTGACTGTGGTCTGCACTACTGGCTGCACTCAGGGTGGCCTCCCAGGTCACGTATGCTGGGTCTGGGTTGGTGCCTCCCTGGAGGGCCCATCCTCAGGGATCTTGCTGGGGCCTCCAAATGTCACAGCAAGCATGTATATTCGATTGAGTCACCCTCAGAAACTGGATGCAGAGACAAGCAAGTTCACTGGGGGCTCGTGATGGGTACTGAGTGCATGACCGGGCACCGACCCCAAAGGGCAGGAGGGGAAATAATTATACAGTTTTAGTTCTGGGGCATGCAAGTGACACTGATATGATTTAGTGCAGCTCCAGAAATACTATAAAGCATGGGCTCAGCTTGTGACAAAGGAACAAAAATATTGCACACATTAGTGGTCTTATGATAAATCATTGGGTGGTGTCAGGTTAGGTAAGTACAACATTTACAAGAAGCCAACTTAAGGAAACAGAAACTTAAGCTTTAAAATGGCACTAAAACAGAATTTCATTTTCTTTCCCATATCACTGTGACTTGGGGTCCCCGGTTGTCCTCCAACCTCACTACTCCTATAATCATTGTGTTCTCCTGGCCCCTACTGTGTCCTGTCTTATCAGTTCCTCGGCCAAGTCCTTCCCAGGAGGCCATCACCAAAACCCTTAGTGATCCAGCACATTCCCTGGTGCTTGGGGAATATTCAACCCTCCAGACCTTCACTGGTGGAGTTTCAGGACTTACAGAGTGAATCCCTCCACTCCAGGGTACTCACTTCCCCGAGCCTTTCATTCCCTCCTCTGCCGTTTGCCATGGCCCATCCAGCACTGCAAGTTTTTCCCATTTCCTCCATGTATCTAGGGACAAGCTGGTAGTCAGGGAATGTAGCGCATCTCCTGGGGTCCTCCTGGGTATTAAACCCTACATTTAGAAAAGTCTCCTACAGTGAACAGCACTCCCTCATCCAAACTTATCCTGCAGCCCTCCCAGCCCAGGCCCTCCATGTTCACTCTGCTCATGCACGCCTGACCTCTGCTGACATGCGAGGGCTGGGCCCTCCAGAACCATGGGCTCTGGGCCCAGCTTCTCTTAGCAGCCCAATACGGCCCAGCTGTGTGATGTTGGGCCTAAGCCTTGTCATAGGCCTGCTTTAGAGGCACCAGGGTAGTGGGGAGGTGCAGGTGCTGGGCATGAGGGCCTGTCTTGTGGACCAGCGGCCTCTGCAGGGAGTCCAAGCCCACTGGAGGCACTAGCTCTGAACAGGGAGGAGAGGGCCATTTCTTTGGCTCCAAGAGTTCAGAGCAGATTTAGAGATTTGAGATCTCTGAGTGCTACCCAGAACTCATGTTGAAAGTTTGGCACAGTTGGGAGGTGGAGTCCCCAGAGGAGATGAGCTCACTGAGAGGGACAGACGCCCTTTCTTGCTCTGGAGTTGCTTCTGTCCCTGGGGTACTGTGAGCAGTGCTGTGAAAAACACTGATTACTAATATCTCTCTCATATCATGCATGTCCTGATGAGTTATTTTGGGAAAACACCCTGAGTGGCATTGCTGGATTGTGTGTAAACATTGATTGATTGATTGATTGATTGATTGATTGATGGGACTTCCAGTCTGATTTCTGAAGTAGCTGCACCATTTTGCATCACAACAATCCAGTGTGAGTCTTGCCTTCCCCCATCCTCACCACCCTTGCCTTCCCCCATCCTCACCACCCTTGCCTTCCCCCATCCTCACCACCCTTGCCTTCCCCCATCCTCA